GGAGGACAGCATGAACGGAGGTCTGGTTGGTGGAGCTGACAGCAGAGCTGAGCTCCTCTCAACCAGGAGTTTCCACTGATGCAGCCTCCCTGGGTACCATCTCTCCATTGGACCCAGCAGCCACGGTTAGGGCTGAGCCAGGCTGGGATGTTGCCAGGGGCACGCAATGGAAAGGTGATGCAGCAGGGATCTGTAGGGTATCGGCCAGAGGCAGATCAGCCATTTCAGTGGCCATAATCTGCTTTATGGGCAGCCATGGGCATGTTTTTCATATGCTGGCTAGAATTTCTCACCTTGAAAGCAAAGTGTCAGCTTGCTCTTGCATGTAAAAACCATGACTTGGATACAAAGGAAGCTAGGATTTCTCAAAGCCTGGTCACCAGGGCAGTAGCGTTGGTATCTCCAGGGAAATGAGAAGCGTGGGCTCTCAGCTTCCACCCAGATTGACTCGATTAGAAAGAAACCACGGGACTGGGGATGGAAATCTGCTGTGTAGCGACTCTCCCAGGTCATTCGGGTGTCTGCTCACGCTTGAGAACAATCAGTGAATAACACAAGATTAGACACGACAGTAAGATTTAAAGAAAGATTTATTCATTTTTAGCTCATGTATGAGTGCTTGCCCGCATGTATGTATGTATACCATGTGCATGCCTGTTGCCTTTGGAGCCAGAAGAGGGCATCAGACCCCTAGTAAATGGAAGTAGGGGAGATTGTGAACTGCCATGTAAGTGCTGGGAAACTAACCTGGGTCCTCTACAAGATCACCAAATGCCCTCAGCCACTGAGCCATCTCTCCAGCATACACACACACACACACACACACACACACACACACACACACACACACACACACACACACACACGCAGCCCCTGTTTGAAAGATAAAGTCTTACTGGTCTTACTGTGGAGCCCAGCCTGCCGTGGAAACTTGCTGTCATTCTCCTGCCTCAGCTTCCCAAGTGCTGGGATTCCAGGCATGTGCCACCACACCTGGCTGTGTTAGAGCGAGCCCCACACAAGCACAGTGAGCACGAGGAGTGCAGGGAGCTGCCTCATCTTGTGCAGCAGACCTAGCACTCAAGACAGCTTCCAGTTCAAAATTGCAAAGGTTTCAAAATTTATGGAAAATGAAGGCGTGAATGCATATGTAGAATAGCAAAGGATGGAGGGGGAGGTAGGGAAAGCTTCCATGTAACCGGTAACTAAATTGAGTTATCAAATCTACCTCCAACCCCTGTCTCCCACAAAGCAAACAATATCTGATATGAATGAAAGCTAGCCGTATATCTGTGTCCTGCTCTCATGAATGACTTTTGCAATAAAAGTTTTGTAAAAATGTCTCGAAGTTCACATATACTTCTTTAAAAAAAAAAAAAGACAACTGTTTCAGTAGGGCACAGTGACACAGGCCGGTGACCCCAGCATTTGGGAACTGAAGGCAAGAGAAACAGAAATTCAAAGTCATTCTCAGTTGCTTAGTGAGTGTCAAGGTCAGCCTGGGCTAACACATCTATTTCTTAAGGTGGGATAAGATAGCACAATGGAGATATTCACATATTTAAAGAGAGTAATAGCCAACTGGGTAAAGCTTAACTGTTTAAAACAGGCTCTATAAAAGTAAACCTTTTCTGGGAGTTGGTGGCACAAGCCTTTAATCCCAGCACTCAGGAGGCAGAGGCAGGCGGATCTCTATGAGTCCCAGGCCAGCCTGGTCTACAGAGCAAGTTCCAGGACAGGCTCCAAAGCAATACAGAGAAACCCTGTCTCGAAAATCCAAAACCAACCAAACAAGCAAACAAACCAGGATTAAGATCATGTTATGTTTTGCTTTCATCTCTAAGTAATACATTTTTAGATTTTATTTCTCCTTACCTCCCGGGACAGGATCCAGTGTGTGAAGAACTGTGTCCACAGTGATGATTCCTGCTCTCTGGATTGTGGTCTTCAAATCTAAACATACATAAGTAACCAGGACATCCTGTTCACAGGCAGATATCTGGCATCTAGAAAGTCTGACGTAGCAGGCCTGTGTGGGGCTCAGGAATTGCCTCAAGAGCATCTCTTAGGCACTTGAGGCTTATGCTCTCCTGGTCATGTGTTCTATAATCACATTTTGGAAGCTGTTGGCTTTGGGACAGAAGATCTTGAGCTTTTGAGTTCACTAGGTTATAAATTTCTGTCTTCACTTGTAAGGTGGTAAGACTGAGATGGTTAAAAGAAAATAAAGAGTACTGTGAATTATCACGGATTGTAAGTTTGCATCATCACATCTTGAAACACTTTCAACAAAGCCAAGCCTTCCATAATACTCCCACTTCCCTTTGAAATGTAATTTTATTTTATTTTTTTACTAACTTCTTTAAAAGCAAAAATAAGATTTAAATTGCTGAAAGGCTCTGTAAGCAAATGCCTGACTTCCTGCCTACTGGAATCATTGTGCCCTCCAGGATTACGACAGACACATGACTGACTGTGTACTGCCAGCACTTGGGAGGCAGAAGCAGGAGGACCTCTGTGAGTTCAAGGCCAGCCTTGTCTACAGAGTGAGTTCAAGGCCAGCCTTGTCTACAGAGTGAGTTCCAGGACAGCCAGGGCTACATAGTGAGATCCTGTCCTAAAAAACAAAAAGCAAAACAAAACAAAAACATATACACATGATAAGTCACAAAAGAAATGAGATACTTTATGTAAGTAAAGTGTAAAGGTTGAAAGACATTAAAAGATAATTTGATAATGCAAATTAGAATAGGAAATAAATTAGGTACAACTCACCAATATAGAATAGATAATGAAGTATTTTCTCTGAATTTGTCAAATGCAAATGGGCTACACTATGTTATCTCATTTCTTTTGTGACTTATCATTTGTATAAGTTTTTTTGTTTGTTTGTTTGTTTTTCATGACAGGGTCTCACTACTATGAAGCCCTGGCTGTTCTGGAACTCACTCTGTAGATGAACCTGACCTGGAACTCACAGAGATCAATGAGATAATAGTAAGGATCTTTGAGTGGCCTGGCAATGGTGGCTCACACCTTTAATTCCAGCACTCAGGAGGCAGAGGCAGGCAGATCTCTGTAAGTTCCAGACCAGCCTGGACTACCAAGCGAGTTCCAGGACAGCCTCCAAAGCCACAGAGAAACCCTGTCTCAAAAAACCAAAAAAAAAAAAAAAAAACCAAAAAAAAACCAAAAAAACCAAATGATCAAAAAAACAAATGTAAGAACTATGTATTTCACCAGAAGGTCTAAAAAATAGATACAACCGGGAAGTGGTGGTGCACACCTTTAATCTCAGCACTTGAGAGGCAGAGGCAGGTGGATCTCTGTGAATTTGAGACCAGCCTGGTCTACAAGAGCTAGTTTCAGGACAGACTCCAAAGTTACAGAAAAACCCTGTCTTGGAAACCCCCCACCAAAAAAATATACAAAGTTGTGTTTCAGAGAGCTACCAAACAAAATTCCTAGCTTTCATTGAGCTGAACTATATATAGTTCCACACAGAAAGCACACTGTGGCTATCGGGAAGCTTGACTTTTGATGCTAATAGTCACTGGAGGAGTTGTGAGAATATTTTGAAATACCAAGAAGACATGCTCTGGGCCCATTACAGTATATTCAGATGTTAGGATATTAAGTGAACAGTATGATATGCCCACAGTCCATCAAAAGCTCTCCATCCATCACAATGCAAATTGCATGGACTCTAAGTTCTCAAGGTTTTGGACCACCCCCCTCCGGCCTGTGTTCTGGCTCTCCTGCCCTCCTCAGTCTCCCCATGCTGTGTACCAGGAGAAAGGAACAATTACACTAGTGATCTCTTCAGTCTTCTCTACTTTTTACTTTTTCATTAGACGTGTAAATCCTAAATCAATAATTCAATAATCGGATAGCAACTACATCATCTTTTATTTTCTCAAAGAGAGGAGAATACTTACTGGGCAAGAGCTGGGACCAAACTAACAGAAGTGTGGAGGTGGAACAGACCGGCGTGTGCAGGGATCTAACCGGTCTCTGAAAAGAAGTCCACCGCAGACTTAGTCGCTGCGGAAACTAACTCGGCCAGGGCAGCCTTTGTTCTTCCTTGTGAAACATACCGTCAGTTTCTTTCTTCCTGGTTTTGGTTTTTGAGACAAAGTCTCTCTGTGTAGCCCTGGCTGTCCTGGAACTTGCTTGGACTCAGAGATTTGACCACCCCTGCCTCTAGGGGCTGGGATCAAAGGTCATGACGTCATGCCTGGCATCACCTTTGTAGGCTGACCAGATTGAGCTATGTGTCTTCTGTTTGGTTGTAGGGAGAGGAAACAAAAAAACCAAAACAAAACAAAACAAAAAAAAAAAAAGAAAAAGAAAAAAAGAAACAAGAAACATGTTTCCCTTCATACTTAGTAAACAAATTTCTATATCCTTTAAAATGGAGTATTAACTATTAAACAATTAAACTAGACAAATATGTTGAAATGAAAGTATCTGCTGATCCCCAAGATACACTGTTAAGGAAAAAAAAATTAGAAAAATTAGGTGCCCATGTATACATTCAAAAATATCAGCTGTGTAAACTGGGCACACTCAGTCCTAGCCCTTGGGAAGCTGAGGTTGAAGCAGGAGGATTCAAAGCTTGAGACCAGCCTGGGGAGACTCTCTCTGTCTCTGTCTCTGTTTCTTTCTCTCTTTCTCTCTCTGTTTCTCTCTGTCTCTTTCTCTCTCTGTTTCTCTCTCTCTTTCTCTCTCTCTCTCTCTCTCTCTCTCTCTCTCTCTCTCTCTCACACACACACACACACGCACACACACTTCCTAAAAGGATATTTGAGACAAGGATTATTCTAGATGTTACCTTTGGGTGTTGGAACTGTGCACAGAGAAGTTTGCTGTTCATTTTCTGCCCCTTGGTTCTGCCTCTGCCTCCTGAGTGCTGGGATTGAAGGTGTGTGCCACCACACCCAGCTAGAAGAATAATTTAAAGTTGACGGTAATGATAACCATTGTGCTCTGCTGTTCAGCTTGTCCTAGGCTTTTTGATCTTTCTGCTCCCATGGGCTCCGCTGTCTCTCCGGGCAGTCGTCATGCCCATACATGTGTATTCTGGACTTCTCCTCTTCGGAACAGTGATTGCGACAGTCCTCATGGGAGTGACAGAGAAGCTGTTTTTTGTCCTGTAAGTTTGTAGCCTTCTTTCTCTTAGTACTTAAGCTAGAAAATGTTAAGTACTTACTCACTGGGGAAATATAATATAGATAGCTATTTCAAAAGATTTATTTTTTTCTGGCATGAGTGTGTCTATTACATACATGCAGTGCCCTCAGAGGCCAGAAGAGGGCATTAGATCCCCTGGAACTGGAGTTACAGGCTGTTGTAAGACGCTCTGCAGGTGTTGGGAAACCAACTTGGGTCCTCTAGAAGAGCAGCAATGCTTTTAACTGTTGGGTCATCTCTCTAGCTCCATAGTCATTTTATTATTAAAATTTAAACTTAAAATATAATTTATCATCCCATACACATAGTATATAATATTACTAAAAACAGAATTACTGGGGTTATGAGTTGTGCATTCATCTTTTGGGGATGCATATTTTTTAAAACTAACTGTAATTATAGTATGTATACATTATTGTTTGAATCTTTTTCGGGTTTCTAAATGACATGAGGTATCCCAAGTGCTATATGTATTTTTTTCTTACTTGGAATTTTAGTGTATTTTACAGTGTGAATCACAGGATAACCTAAATGTCTCTTTAATGCCATGCTGCAAGGACATTTATGTTGAATCTGTACCGTGGTTCACTCTGAGCAGGTGGATTCGGTGTACGCAGTGTGCTCATAACTGGGTCCACTTTCTCTTTCTTCATAGGAAAAATCCTTCATACCATTCATTCCCACCAGAGGGTGTTTTCACAAATACCCTGGGCCTTCTGATTGTGGTATTTGGAGCCCTCATCTTCTGGATTGTCACCAGACCACAGTGGAAACGTCCCAGAGAACCCGGCTCTATCCTTCTTCAGCCAAACGGAGGCGCGGAGGGAATGGAAGGCGCCATGGCGATAAGCACCAGCCACAGCCCAGACTCAGCAGACGCGGAGCTAAGCAGCGAGAGGGCAGCCAGGAAAAGAACCCTCGGCCTTGATGACGCTGGCCAGAGATCCACCATGTGAAATGGACAGCCATGTAGCTTCCTTCCAAAGTCAGACCTACAGTTCAGCTTCTCCTGCCTAGCCTTGGGTGACTTGGGTTCGCAGTGCCAATGTATACTGTGGTCACCAGGGAGGATTTCCTGAGAGAGATTGTATTGTGAGGCCTGTGAACTTACCAAATGTAAAAGAATGTGATCCGCCTAAGTAGTGACTGTTTCTTCTGTGTTCTTGAGGACCCCCTCACTGGACACGCTGCCAGCGGCTTGTTTGCCGAGCTAGCAGCACCCTTGGCTTCTCGCTATGCCCCATTAATTCTGGGAGCCTAGCAATTTCAGAACGAGGTAGAACCAGTCCTGACTTTTAAAATAAGATCACAAATAGCTGGAACAATGTTTGGACCCTTATGCCACACAACTATTGTGGGTAAAACTCGTTGCGGGGAGCGGCACTTGAGGGAAATAATTAGTTCCCTTTTCCCCATGGTGGCCTTCCGTTCCCTCTCCAACTAATTCGGGCTCACCTGGGCCCTGAACATGAGAGTATTCATGATGGTGTTTTGGAGCAGTTTCTGGGTTAAAGACAACTAAAGAGATCTCTGGTTAGACCTGGAAGATTTTCTTACACCCAGCCCAGTGCCTAGACTCCCAGGAGCTGGTTTCTTCACAGTTCAGCTGAACTTCTTGCAATGCAAACACGCCTGAGCTCAAGCCAAAAGAACCGCTTTTCACCCACACACCGTGACGACGCTTTCCATCAAGTTTCTGTTTTATTTTTCAGAGTGCTGCCCTGGCTCTTACTATGTGCCAGAACTCTCCTACTAAGCACTTTACACATACTAGCTCCTTCAGTCTCCAGACAGACGTTGTAGACAGGTATTGTTACCAGCCCCGTTTTTAGGTGAAAGACCTGAAGCTTGGAGAGGTGCGTAACTTGGCCCAACATCACATACCTCCTAAGCTGATGGAACTGACATTCAAACCCTGGCAGTCTGGCTCCCCTGTCGGTGGTCCTCCATTTAACTATGCTCCTTTCCCATTTATACTTCCTGGCAGCACTGTGGTCCACCCCCGAATAAAGTCGCTGAGTGGAGTTGTTACAGGACACTGCCTTACCCTTGGTCCTCTTCCAAGGAGACCCTGTAGAGAGTGGGAAAGGCGCCATAAAGTCTTAGATGAAGACCTTGGGGCCTCAGCCACTTCCACAAGCCACAGCCTGCCTCGACGCCCTTTTAATTTTAACAGGGCATTTATCTGTCTTGCTGACAGGAAGGTCTGGGCTAGGAAAGCCTTCAAGATTAAGTGCTTGTCCCTCACAATCCTAGCTGCTGTCCTTCCCTGGGGCCATAGGCAGTTCCTCTCCTGACTTTTGTTCTTAGTAGAGGAGTGAAATTCAGTGGTCAGACTTCTGTGTCAGCTCTGAGGTAAACCTGCAGTAATAACTGCAGAAATAGCAACTCATGGAGATTGGTTTTTTTTTTTTCCCCTTTTGCAGGGAGCCATGAGTTGTGGCCGCCATTCCAAGATGGCACTGGGCCCCTGCAGGGCTGGAGTAAACAACTCCATATAGGGTCATAACCAGAGTCACCAGCTCGAGCATGCTCAGTGTCTTCAGCTTGCTGGGCCAATCAGGGAGCCTGAGGTGGCTGCCAGGGGTGCTCGACCAATAGGACAGTTGCACGCTGCCTCAGCTCCTATATAAGCAGCTGCAGTCTTTGTTCGGGGTCCCTCGCTTCCTGCTCTCCCTTCAACCAAGAGGCTCCAATAAAGCGTGATTTGGGAAGAATCCTTGTCTGGTGGTAGTCTTTCCTGCTGGTCAGGGAGTGCTCCACACCCTTTCACTCTGTTTTCTGATTGTGACACTTGGGCATGGATGTGTGAGCCTGTAGTTCCAGCTACTTGAGAAACTGATGTTTGAGGATCAGTTCAAAGCCAGCCTGGGCAACATAGTGAACCCTTCTCTTGAGTTTTTGATGGAGTCTCTAGAAACCCAAGATGGCCTTCCTCTTTTTGTAACCTAAGGTGACCTTGAACATGTAGTCTTTCTTGCCTTCACTTCCCAAATGCTGGATTACAGGCATGTGCCAGGAGTCACCAGCTACCACGTCTTAGCACAGCTCTATCTTTTAAATAAAAAACAGAGACAACATAAAACACAATGTGGAGGAAAAAACTTGTAGTTTACAGCAAAATATACCCAACATGTTTGGTGTGTAGTGAAAAATCCTTTTAGCTAATATGATTATTTCCACAGCCAGGTGTGGTGGCACACACCTTTGGTTCCAACACTCGGGAGGCAGAGGCAGGTGGATCTCTGAATTCAGGGCCAGCCTGGTCTATGGAACGAGTTCCAGGACAGCCAGGGCTGTTTCACAGAGAAACCCTGTCTCAAAAAACAAAACACAAATATGGTTATTTCCAAAGACCAAGTACAACTCACAGTCTATCAGAGCTCTTAAACTTCATAACAATTCAGAATTCCCTCAGTGCATCATTTCTTTCCTCTTATTTAATCAATTCCATTCCCAAAATCAGCTAACAGCATCAGAAGGACTATGAGGGACCAACCTAGGGTCACTCTTCAGCTAGACAGTGAATTCAGGCCAGCCTGGGATACATGATACCTATCTTAGAAGCCCAACAAATAAATAAAGATCATATAGTGCTAAGTAGGAGTAATTACACCAAACAGTTTGCTAAACGATGACTCACTGTAAAGAGCTGGGTCAAATCCTGGGGTGATTTGGGGGGGAATTGCAGGCTCGTAACCGAGCCCCAAGAATCATGGTACCTTTCCTTTCCTGGTGGGCCCACGGAGGCTCTCAGTGCAAGGCTGATTGCGTGGCACTGGAATAGCTCCACTGGGAGCGTGAGAGCACCCCTCATCTCAGCCCTCTCTTTTCTCTCAAGTGGGCTAATGTGAGGGTAATATTAGAGGCACTTCTTTTCTTCTCCAGCTTTTGTGAAAGGATGCATAGCACAATATATCGAAAAGATCTTTCTATTTGAGACTCTTCTTTTAATGGGCTCTTTATTCCAATGATAATTATACCTTTATCTTTCAAAAGCTGATGTTTCCTACCTAAAGCATCTCCCCCCCAAAAAAATATCACATTAAAAAGTCTGCAAAGAATAGGGGAGAAGAAAGCCCTGGGTATCAATTCCAAACAGTGATTGAAACCTCCCCAAATAATTATAGCTTATATCCTCTACAGAGATTATCTGGCTTGGCTTACCCCATAATCTAATTTCAGGAAAGAAAGCTTTATTTCAACACTGATCTACGTCAACATGAAAGCCTTATCTTTCCCAGGGCTTGGTGAGCAATCCAAATGAATATACTATATTGAATTAATGTCATCAAAAGCGTGCTGCTTTCCTGTGCTTGTGTCAAACAGAGCCCACCCTCCACGGCACGTTCTTCCTGTTAGCAGTGTGGTTTTCTTTGAATCTGTGCACTTAGAATGGAATGATATATTAAGGCAAGCATACTTTTTAAGGACTGGTGACAAGTAGTCTCTGTTTTCTGAAGGACAGCAGCATCAATTGTGCATCTCATATTAATTAGGCTTTCTTCCCTGCAGAGCTGGAGTGCACACTCATTGGCCACGGCCGCACATGGAAAATGCAAAGGAGGAAGTTATGCCTTATGCCAACTCTACTTGTAATGTGATGGATTATTTAGCTGTAGATGTCCATTTTTAAAAAGATAACTCCGACAGGAAACTACTATAGCTTCTAGGTCTAATAGGAACGTAGTGGAGAAAATGACTGTTCTTCATTTATGGGCTAGCTACTGAACACTTTACGTGGGAAATAATTCTATCTATAAATTTGTCTTTTCATCTCAGTACATTGATGGAAAAGTATTGTCTTGACTATTTTATAATTTTGTAGGGAATACATGTATCTATTTTTCTTGACCTTTAATATAGCAATAAAAAGCGACTTCTAAGCTTTTTGTGTGCGTTATCTGTTTGTCCTGGGGTAGTGGGTATAATCATTTTTCTCGAAGTTTCTTTCCCATGATTTATTTTTTAGTTGTTTTTCAGTTGGGTTACTTTCTTTTTAGTTCTTTCACTGAAAGTACGGAGAGCTTTTTCTATCCGCTCTGAGTGCCTGTCTTTCTGTGATGCTGGAGGCAGTGAGACATCAAACACATCCCCTCTGCGCAGGACCCGAGTTGGAGCCCATGGCAACGCGGAAGGGTGCTGCAGACCCTGCAGATAAATGGGGAGAAAAGCACAAACAAGTCTGTCCAGTGCAGTGCCTCTTAAACAGCTGCTCACAGTAACTTTAAAAAATATCTGCTTTTGATTATGTGTATGCCTTTGTGTCTGTGTGGGGGTGTGAGCTATTTATAATTCTTGGTACTGGTGAAGAAACGTTAGAAAAGCCAAGATTAGAAGAAAATCTGTTGACTTCACCCCATATCTTTGCTCTTGCTGCGGTCACTACTTTCTGATGTTTCAAGCCTCTTGTCATGCCCTTCCTGTCTGGAGACTCGCGCTTACTGTTTATTTCCAGGAGGTCTTCTTCTGCACCAGCGTAGGTGCTGTTAGTGGCTGAGCCGTCTTTCCAGTTCCATCAATGCCTGGGTCATTTCAAAATGGACTCCTATGGATTGCCTTTTCACTTGACAATGCACTGCATATAGCTATGTTTTAGTTTATCTATCAGTGTACCTTGTGTTTTGAATATCATGAATAGAAACCTGAAGAGATTCTAGGTTCTGTTACTTGCCCCTAAAGCAGTGGTTCTCAACCTGTGGGTCACAACCCCTTTGGGGTCACATATCAGATATTCACATTACAATTCATAACAGTAGCAAATGAAGCAGCAATGAAATAATTTTATGGGTAGGGGTTACCACAGCGTGAGGAACTGTATTAGAGGGTCACAGCACTGGGAAGGTTGAGAATCACTGCTCTAAAAAGTCTAAACTCCGAGCCGGGCATTGGTGGCCCACGCCTTTAATCCCAGCACTAGGGAGGCAGAGGCAGGGGGATCTCTGTGAGTTCGAGGCCAGCCTGGTCTACAGAGCAAGTTCCAGGACAGCCTCCAAAACAGTACAGAGAAACCCTGTCTCAAAAAACAAAAACAAAAACAACAACAAAAGTCTAAACTGCTCTAATAGGCAGTTAATAAGCAGTGGATAAACTCTGTTATTTTACTTTTGGATGAGTTGCTTGGAGTCTACCTCACATATATGTTGGATAAAGGCCAAGTGGAGTTTATGAATTTAAAGTTCTTATAATATCAATCTTGGTTTGTCAATTTGAGAAATACGCCATATTTTTGTTTTATTTATTTTAAGAGATTTTTAAATTTATCTTTATTATTTTTAAGTGTGTGTGTGTGTGTGTGTGTGTGTGTGTGTGTGTGTGTGTGTGTGTGTGTGTCTAGGACTATGCACATGAATGCAGGAGGCCAGAAGTAAGCATTGGGTCCCCTGGATCTGAGTTACAGAAAATTGAGCTGCCTGAGGTAGGCACTGGGGACTGAACTTGGCTCTGACAGAGCAAAGCTCACTCTGGATTGCTGAGTCATCTCTCCAGCCCCGAGAGCTTTTTGTTTTAAGGGCTGGAGAATAATTGTGTTGCTTTGCTTGGAGAAAAGCTGATCCAAACAGCACTGCTAGAGGTGACCTTCCAACTTCTAGCTGAGCCAACCGGATGCCTGGGAAAGAGCACCTGCTTTAAACATCTTGCAGGATCAGATGAGAGTCTGACTTTCATTGTAAGGTAGAAACGGGCAGCGGAATGCCAAAGGCTTACAGATGTCAGCACGCTGGAGTTTCTATCACTGAACAAGCGGCAATTCTGCGGAGAAGAATGTGTGCTGTCAGCCTGACACTTCAGCACAGAACACAGACAAAGCCAATTCAGGAGAAATAGGTGCATGGAACTAAATACCTTCACTACGAGGTGAAGGCATTTTTTTTAACATGGACTTTGAGACCTGCACGAGCTCCGGGCTGTTACACCTCATCTTGCTCTTGCTACTGGCTGCCCTGGCCACGCCCACATGCTCTCCTCCTCCCAGAAGGGCAAGTGGCAGCAACAGTGGGACCTGTAGGCCAAGCAGTAGCATCAACCTAGTGGGGGATGACTGGGTGAGGCAGGCCCAGTGGTGGCCTGAGGACCAGCTCTACTTGGCAATGGCATGATCCTTTGTCTGCTCTGACCACGCTCTCTAACCTGCTGTAAAAGCCACATCTCTATTTCCGCTTCTCTCTGCCGTGTGTGCTGCTCTGTTCCGCCACCTTTTTCTTTGTCCTATCTAAGCGCATATATTTGGATGCTCGGTCACCAGAGAGCGGCACTATTTGAAAGGATTAGAAGGATAGGAGGTATGGCCTTATTGGAGTAACTTGTTGGAGGAAAAGTGTCACCCTGGGTGGGCTTTGAGGTCTCAAACGCCTGTGCCAGACTCAGTCTCACCCTCTCTGCCTATGAATCAGATGTAGAACTGTCCCCTCCTTCTCCCCAGCCCTGCTTCCCATCATGACGATGAAGGACAAAACCTCTGAAACTGTAAGTGAGCCCCAATTAAATGCTTTCTTTTACAAAAGTCGCCTTGGTCATGGAGTCTCTTCACAGTGACTAAAACAGATAAGAAAAAGATTCAGTGAAAATAATATTGTTATTACTTCAGAAAAGTACTTAGAGCAGCAATGAATAGCACACCATTTTAGCACGTCATGTCAGAGCAAATTATCCTCTTTTTTTATTATGCAAGTGTGTGATGCATGTGCATGTGTGTGTGTGTGTGTGTGTGTGTGTGTGTGTGTGTGTGTACAGGTGCACACATATGATACTTGGAGGGGAGGCCAGGGAGGGTGTCACGTGCTCTGCCTTGTCACTCCGCCTTGTTCTTCTGAGCCAGGATTTCTCACAGCCTGGAGCTAGGCTTATGTAATTGCCCAGTGTCTGATCCCACAGCACTGGGGTTCTAGGCGTGCACATTGCTACCCTCAGCTTTTCACGTGGTACCAGGACACAAACCCAATGGCGAGGAGTCTTACCCACCAGGCCATGGCATGGCAGATAGATTATCTAAGTTCCAGGCTTAGGACTAGTCTCTCTAGTCCCTGTCTTCAAATGTCATTTTAATCAGCCTAGAACCCGGAAAGATGTACTCAAACATCTCACCCCACTTTATCTTGCTAAGACCAGCTTGCCCTCTGACACGGGGATCCACAGGCATTGGAAAAGCTTCCTGTGGCCCCGACTCTCCTTTGCTCTGCGTGAAGTGTTTTTCCTCAGGGTTGTAGAACCCAGGTCCCAGAATTACCCAGTCTCACCAGGGTGGATTTATCAGTTCCTCGTTTCTCTTCCCTGACTTCTACACTTGTTGAGATCTGAATTTGCAGACTTTGCCAGCTAGATATTTGCTGATGTTCATGAACAATTAACCAAGATAAACAGACTAGCATAGCAAGAGAGACAGGAAGTAAGTGAGGGAGAGAAACTAGTGTGAGGTACCCAGAGCTGCTCTGGAACATATAGCAAGCTATGGGAGTGGCCCTAAGTTAACTAAATCCTCTCTGCCTGCACCACTGTGTCTTTCCCTAGTCTCCTTACCCTCTCCTGTTTCTGTGTCCCAGCCCTATTTCCCCTACTGAAGATCATTCCATTTAAGATGTATGTAGAGCAAGATGGGGCCTGGGGAGGATACCCCAACATTGAGATCTGTCTCTCTGTCTCTCTCTCTTTCATACACACATACATAATTAGCAATGAAATATAACAAATAATTAATGAACAACTGTAATCTTTGGGGCAGAGTAAGATAATGGAAAACTTAAATGCCCCCATTGTATCTATATTTTCTATAATTAACATTTATTACTGTTTTGTTTTGAGATAGAGTCTCATTGTGTAGCCTAAGCTGGCCTCAAACACGTGCCCCTCATGCCTCAGCTTCCTGAATGCTGGGTTTACAGGTGCACACTGCAACACCTTAATTTGTTTGTTGCTTTTATGCTGAAAAATATCTACAAGCACTTTACAGAATGTATTTTCAGACACTCATCTGCCTAGTGATCCTAGTCTTTGCCTAGTCTAATCTTACAAGAAATGGAAGAGAATAGTTTTCAACAAAAGCAATACTTTCTTAACGTCAGGAAAGAAACACCTCACTTGGTCAGACCTAGCCTAGCCCCAGGGACAGCCCACTTTGCAGATGCTAGCTGACAGGTCCCCAAAGGCATCACAATCTCCCAAAGCTGATGCCAAACACTGAAACCTAGAAGGCATAGCATCATGGAATGGGCCAGGCAGGAAGACCTGGATTCTCGTAAGGATAATGTAATGGTCTACAGGTGTTACCCTGGACAAGCCACCCAGTTTCTCTATCCTCTACAAAACCAGGCTCTTCTTTATCCTTTTAGCAGTTAGTTCTTGAGGTCAGCTCACAGTCACTCAGCGAGGCTCATGCTAGAACTAAAGTCACACTTTATTGGTCACTGAGCCCTATTTGTCACCCCTACTTATCCTTCCTTAAACAGAATGATGCAGAGTTCTCATGGCTTACGAGTGGAGTGGTAGTTGTGGTCTTGAGGGCCCTCAGGAAGAAGGTCCGTGGGGCTGAGGAAGGCTGACAAGAGAGACCATAACAGAATAAAGGATAAGTTTTAGTCAGGTGTGGGGGTGCACACTGGGGATCTCGGTGGCAAGAGGATTCCCACTAATTTGAGATCAGCTGTGCAACAGAGGGAGACCCCGTCTCAACCCTCTTACTCCCCCAAAGAGTAGGGAACAAACTAAGTATTTCATCAAAGACAGGTCAGAACAGGGAATAGCTGTCAAAAGCAGGTATTGCTCCTGCAGATGACCCGAGTTCGATTCCTTGTCAGGCTGCTCACAAAAGCTTGTAACTCCAGCTCCAGGGGACCTGACACCTCCAACTGCTGAGGCACCTGCATGCATGTGCACAGCCTCCCCCACGCAC